CCCTATGGGGCCACGAACTGTGTGAGGGGTGCGCCGAAATGGGGGTGAAACTGCATGCGAACTTCGCCACTGAGGCCTACAGCAGAACTACCTATGGGGCCACGAACCGTGTGAGGGGTGCGCCGAAATGGGGGTGACACTACATGCGAACTTTGCCATTGAAGCCTGCAGCAGAAATACCTATGGGGCCACGAACCGTGTGAGGGGTGCGCCGATATAGGGGTGGAACTGCATGCGAATTGTGCCACTGGTTCCTTCGGTGGAGCTCCCCATGGAGCCACGAACCGTGTGAAAGGTGCGCCGAAACGGGGGTGAAACTGCATGCGAACTTCGCCACTGGGGCCCTCGGTGGAACTCCCCATGGGGCCACGAATCGTGTGAGGGGTGCGCCGAAATGGGGATGGAACTGTATGCGAACTTTACCACTGGGGCCTTCGGTGGATCTCCCTATGGGGCCACGAACCGTGTGAGGGGTGTGCCGAAATGGGGGCGGAACTGCACGCGAACGTTGCCGCTGAAGCCTTCGGTGGAGCTCCCCATGGGGCCACGAACCGCGTGAGAGGTGCGCCGAAACGGGAGTGAAACTGCATGCGAACTTTGCCACTTGGGCCCTCGGTGGAGCTCCCTATGGGTGGAACTGCATACGAACTTTGCCACTGGGGCCTTCGGTGGAGCTCCCTACGGGGCCACGAAACGCAGTACTGGGTGGGTGAAACGCAGGGCGGAGGGAGGAGGAGAAGGAGGAGTGAGTGAGTGAGTGAGAACAATCGCGAAGCGACGATCGAAACAGACGCCCCCCCCCCCCCCCCTGGACTTGTCGAAGAGCACGACGGACAGGAAGAGGACGCACTTCTTCTGAAAAGCTGGCAGAGAAGCCCGTGGAACCATAAGCCCGCGGATGGGTTCCTCCCAAACATAGAATGTCAGTTCACCCCTTCAACACCAGACAAATACAGAGGAAGTTGAAAGAATGCCAAAAGCCACCTTGATACAAATAAGCTGAACCGAAGCAAACTCGATACGGCCCACTACAGTAAACTGGTCATCGGGCAACCCTGACGGATCGTTCACACCGAAAACAGCCTCATTGCATTCAAGGAAAAAGCCTCCAGCCCTTGCAATAATTGACCACCATTCGCAGCACCGCGTGAAAAAGATAACAGTAAGAGGCCCAGCCCCAGCAACGCTGAACAAATAGGCCGCCGCCCGTACCCTCCCCACGCGGCATTGGGAGATAGCAGCATTGTAGATGATGGGAACTGAGCGCCATTGCAACCAGCAAACGCCCGAGGCCAGCGAAAGAGAATACCCCCTCCGTGCGGCTCTGAGGGATGGCTGAAATGTAAATGACGAAACCAGTGCCCGCCCAGCCTGTGGGAGCTTGAAAAACACGTGCGGGACAAGGAAGAACGGGAGGACGGCCAGACGGAAAGTGGACGCGACCCGATCTGAGCCCCTCAAGTGCGTCGCTCCAGTGAACAGCATGGGCGCCAAAAACAAATTTCCCGAGCCTGACATCAAGGACGAGACATCATATGTGAGCACCTTCTGTTTTAGTCGTCACCAGCGGCTCTCCTGGAGAGCGTGGGTGAAGTGCCCCAAGCACCGCGCGCAGGCACAGAAGGCGGGCTCTTGCCAAAATGGTCTGAGCCCAAGTTGCTTGAGGGAGGAGAAGGAGGAGGGGAAGGAGGAGGAGGAGGAGGAGGAGGAGGAGGGAGGATCAGGAGGAGGAGGAGGAGGAGGAGGAGGAGGAGGAAGGAGGAGGAGGGAGGAGGAGGGAGGAGGGAGGAGGGAGGAGGGAGGAGGGAGGAGTGGTGGGAGGAGGAGGAGGAGGAGGCGGAGGAGGAGGAGGAGGATGAGGAGTTGGAGGAGGATGAGAAGGACGAGGCACAGCTCTTCACACGCACCTCCAGGAAAATCCAGCAGTCTCCATCTCGCACCAGCACAACTTCATATTGGCCTGGACGAGGAACTGATGAATCCACAAGCGCGGCCGAACAACAACAGCCACTCCACCATGGGTGCCTCCACCTGGGGGCTTGAGAGCATCCTGGAAATACGGGGGCCACTTCATAAGACGACATGTGTTCTTGGCGCGAAAAAAGCTCCAGGTCCCTTGGGATTGTGCCGGGCAAGGAGTATGCGATTCACTTCAGAATCCGCAGCAGCAGCGGCATCCTGGAACAGCTTCGACCACTGAGTGATGTGAGCAAAATTGACACTCACGCGCGTAGCCGCCTGCTGAGGCGACTGGTTGCCGTTATAGAGACGAGGGTTGGTTGGGCAGCCTGAGACACTCACTGTTGGTGAGCTGGCACAGAGTGAGAAACAACAGCACCTGAGCAGGAGGAGGAGGAGGAGGAGGAGGCGGAGGAGGAGGAGGAGGAGGAGGAGGAGTTGGAGGAGGAGTTGGATGATGCGTTGGAGGAAGAGGATGAGAAGGACAAGGAGGATGAGACGGAGAAGGAGGATACGGATCGACAGGAAGAGGATGACGATGAGGAGGAGGGGGCATGTGAGGAGGAGGGGGAGGGTGCCGCCGATACTGCAGCTCATGATGGTGATAATGGACGTGCTCCATGAATATCCGGGATACCGGAGTTCGCTCGAACCGAAGACCTGCCTCAAGTGCCCCCAGTTTTCACGCGGCAGAATTTCAGGTCGTGCGTATCTACTGTGTGCTCGCTTGGGTCAAATCTCAAATCAGCAGCTCGTGACTCCGAGTTCAGGGTGGATCATTTGCCACTTGCCCTTCTTGCGCTCCCTGCCGCATTGCCTCCCATAAGCGGCCGTGGGGACAAATCAGGGGCACACGGTATAGCATTGTTTCAGAACCGTCCTTCAACCTTGCCCAATTGAAGTGGCTTCGGCCCCGATGGAGGCAGCCCTCAGGAAATGGCGCGTCTAAGCCAGGGTTGACTTTGCTCCAGGAGCACCGACCTTGTCGCGCATGGCGGAGAGCTCGCCATTTCAGCTCATGCCAGGATGTTGAACGTCAAGCTCCTCAGCCTACCTCTTCCCTTCTGGAGTCACCCCGGCTCCACTACCTCGCCCCTTCTCTTCCATTCGCGTGATCTTGCAGGGTGTGTATCTAGCCTGGGCCTTTCATACATTTGGTGCTAGCGAACGTCCACACCTGATCCTTCTTGTACATGTTTGGCGTTTCCACGCAGCCGCACGCGAGCTTCGACCCTGCAAGGCTGACCCCCCCTTTCCTCCTCCCTCATCCCTCATCCATCCGCCACTCTCCCCATAGCCATGTCGGCTCAATCAATTATTCAGACTGCCTGGCTTCATGCCGGAGTCGTCGTCATCCTCTTTGACGTCTGGTCGGTCGTCTAGGGGCGATCCAATCCCTGAGACCCCTTGGGAGCATTTTCGTGGCAATGAACATATTCGTGCATGGTTTTTCGGAGCTGTATTCTTTTGTGTGGGTGCTATATTTTTTGCATTCCAGCTGTTTACTGAGTACGGCCTCTGGATCGGATGCGGCTTTTGGATCGGCGGATGTTTCTGCAACATGTACTGTCCTTTGAAGGAGCTGTTCAAAGGTCCGACTCCGTTCACATTTGAGAGGGTGTGCAATGAGTGGTGCTTGCTAGCGTGCATGGTGTGCTGGGTGGTTGGCTGCTCGTGGTGCTTCCTCCCGATGACGGGTGCCCAGTCGGTGTTGGTAGGCCATGTTGACCTGATGTTTTTGATCGGGTCCTCCTTCAACATGGTCCCGCCGATGTATCAGTTGATGCACGACGCTTCGCGTGAAGACGGCTGGACAGGGCAATGTCTTGAATATGTTGGGTATTTGGTGTCAGACCAGTGAGATGTTAATTGTATGCTGGGATGCATGGTTTTGCCAGCGATCATGATGTATGGCAGTTCTTTTTGCCTGGTCCGAGATGAAATACGCACTGGGCAGCCCTCTTCTCCTGGTCCCGGAAGGTGCTGTCTTGTGATTGGCATCCTTTCCGGACCCATTGTCTGCCAGCTTTCTCGCCCCTCGGGACCACATGAAGAGAACACGTTGCCTACCATCTCTTGTGCTTGGAGGCTACCCTCAATGTGCTCGTGTCCCAGTCCGGGGGTCGCGCTGGGCATTCTTTGCTATGTGGGTCGGCATCACCCCAACATACTTATACTGTATGTGCGTCGCCACCCCCAGGGGCGACGCGCGCACCGAGAAATCTTATAGTATATGCGTCGTGGCGTGCGCTTTCTGGCCACACCGCTCGGGAAACGGTATACTACAAGATGGGTATACTATATGTTTGGGTCGGACGCGCGCCTCCAAGGAGGACATATAGTATTAGTATGTCTCTGTGCGTCCCAGTGGGCTCCCTCACCTGGCCGTCCTGGGGCCCCCTGGAGTTTTCGCTGGACCATGCCAGGGCGCCCGTCGCCGCCCAGGGCCGCCACGGTAGGGGGGCCACGTGCGAACCCTAAGGGGGGGGGGCGGGCTTCGCTTCGCTTGGGAGCTCCCGAGCGGAGTGAACCCCGCCCTCCCCCTCTCCAATCGTGGGGGGGTGGGTCCGAGCATTCTCTCTGGGTGGAGGGCAAGGGGTGACATCTGAAGTGCCGGTCCGATTGGTTTTTTCGAGGCCTGCGCCTGCAAGAGAGGTGGATCCCAGGACGGATCGATCTCCAGGGTGCAGAGGCCCACATGGATTCCACCCCCGAGCCCTCCACCCCGAGAACATGCTCAGGGGGGTATGGGGCAGGGCTCGCACGTGGGCCCCCCTGCTCGAGGCGCCCCCGAGGGCGGCGGCGGCCCGTGCGGTGCGGCTGGCCTCCCGCGGGGCCCCCGCGCGGGCTGCCGGCCCGCGCGGCTTCCTCGGGGCACTCCCGGCGCCCCCCGCCTGCGCGGCGGAGGCCCTCGGGCGCGCCGCCTCCGCCCGCGGCGCGCCCGAGGGCCCACCTGGGGGGGCCTCCACGCCCGCCGGCCCCACCGCGGGGCCCGGCGGATCTCGAGGATCGGGGACGTGGGGCCGAGGACCTGGCCGCGGATGACGAGGCCCGCGGTGCCCCCCATGGGCGGAGGGGGAGGTTCGCCGCGGAGGTTCGAGGCTCTCGGGCGTGTTGTTGTTGTTGTTGTGGTTGTTATTGTTGTTGCTGTGATTGCTGTTGTTGTTGTTGTTGCTGTCGTCTTCTTCTTCTTATTATTATTCTTTTTCATATTCTTATTTTTATTATTAGTCGTCTTATTATTCTTCTTCTTCTTATATAGATATGTATATATGTATGTATGTATGTATGTATGTATGTATGTATGTATGTATGTATGTATGTATGTATGCGTGTATGTATGTATGTATGTATGTATGTATGTATGTATATATGTATGTATGCATGTACGTACGTATGTATGTATGTATGTATGCATATATGTATGTATGTATGTATGTATGTGTGTATGTATGTATGTATATCTATGTCTATATCCAGATGCGAGCGATATACGTATGTCTATACATATATGCACATATGTATTTTTGTTTATGTATTAGTTCATTGTTATACCTAGAGATGTAGACATGTATATGTTAACATATAGATATATGTATGTACATTTATGTGTTATGCACATACATATATATATACGTGGAGACCCATTGCACTGTACCGACAATCTACCCTCAGCTTATCGATGGGGGTCCCAAGACGAGCCGTTATGGTTTCAAGACGGTCCCCGAGCCCCCGAGCCGCCCCAAGACCGACCCAAGAGGACCCCCAGGAGGCAAGGAATAGGCGAAACCCATATTTCATGATCCAACAGATTTCGGGGTACTCGCGCTTTCCAGCTTCAGGGACTCAAAGACGGCCCAAGAGGTTCCCAAGAGCGCCAGTGTCAGATCCCGTAGCAATTGCTGCTCAAGATCAAGGCACATTGGTTTGACGCAGGGCGGGCAGGCTAACGTCCCCTACTGGGCAAAGTGCCGGTATTATCGCAGTGATGCGCGTCATTGATTTATCCCAGGTTGTCGTTAAAGCGGAGCTTCTTTGCATTGTCGTCTGTTATGCCCTGGCCACATGCCGTTATGCTCGAACAATTTGGATGAACTGTTGTGGTTTGGCATTGAACGATTTGCGATTGTTCAGTTCGTGTGTTCGCATTATCAAAGGGTGCAAGGGCTTCTTTTGGCAGGGTAGTGGCGCGGAATGCCAAATTGAAGTGCACAAGCGAGCCGTCAGGGTTCATATTGCGCGTGCATTTTGTGGTATAGCTTCTGTGGCAATTCTCGTGTACGTCCCGATGTCGCATTTCACTGCAGACGACCGCCAGCATATTGTGCCAGTGCGGGTGCATGAAGCTTGGTGCGGAGTCATATGCGCAATAGTTGCTGTGTCCCCACGACTGTCGACGTCACGGCTACTTCACGTCTCGTACGCTCTCATTGCGTTTTCAAATGTGGTAACATTGTCACCATTGTTGCAAACCGCGTCTAGCGTTGCTACCCTTCATGGCCACATCATATTTGAGTGTCTGGCCTTTAGCTTATTGGACTTGTACCTTCCAGCGAACTTGATATTTGCAACTGTTTCCTATTTGACCGCCGCGCTGACTTTTCTTGTTGGGGATTCCAGTGGCAGTGCTGCCATCGACCCGCATACACTGGAAGATTGTCTGTACGGTTGGTTCAGTGTTACTATATTGCTTTCGGTTGCAAACGCTGCTCTTTCCAAGGCGGTTGTTGTCCGTCTAGACGGCGAGTCATTTAGGAACGAGCTGCGCGCCGCAAAGTCGATCTTGGCAGGCACATGTGACGCTGTGGTGGAACTTGATGCAGAATTGAGGCTAGCACAGCTCTCTCCGAAGCTCGCGGACCTGCTCATGTTAAGCCCTGAGCGAGTCGCGGGTAACGCGAGCATGTCGTCTCTCCTTGCCACGGAGGCCGACCGCGAGAAGTTCTCCCAAGAGGTAACCTCCAGTACGACACATGATGAGTTTTGCAAGGCCTTTCACGTGAGCATGAAGGATAGCCGTGGCATCTCGGTACCAGTGGAGGCGTTCTGCGTGCGTTTCAACGGCGTCGGTGATAAGGAATCGTTTCTGCTTGGCTTCCGGGAGTTTGTAGACACGGTTTCGCCCAGGAGGGACCAGTTTGTTTCGCCTGGATTGCCCAGTGCTGCGCTGACGATCGATGTCCAAAGCAGGCTGCAATCGCAAGAGGACCAGAGCACAGAACGCAGCAATTCCGAAGATGGATCGGGTCTGACGTCAGCTGTACCTGAGCTTGCCATTTGGTTTGATGTTGTGACGCCAGCGTTCACAATGCTCTGCTGCACGAGTGCCTTGAAGTTGCTTGCTGGTAGTTCTTGGGCACAGATCTGCAAGTTTGAGCAGAGTCTTCTGCAATGCATCCAGCCAGCAATGCGAGAGGACTTTGAGTATTGGGTTCGTTTCTGCGTCGACAAGTCAGATAACAGTGCCAGTCAGGGAGAAGCTGCGCCGCTGGAAGTGGGATCAGTTCGCTTCCGTTTCAGTGAGCATCATCATCGTTTCCACCTCGCCATCGAGAGCAACGTGACGCTAGTCCTGGCCCCGCAAGATCGCGAGGATTGGCCCGCCGGCCTGGGCGAGACGTCGCGCGTGGTGAAGATCGTTCTCGAGAGGCCCAAGTGGATCCAGGGGGGGCACTGGACCTCCACGAACGTCCACACGCCCCTGCCGAATGACATCTCCGTGCTGGCCGGCGCCCTGGAGTCGGACGGCTCCCTGGCGCCGCTTGGCCGGTCGGCGCGCTCGCACGTCGGCCGCCGTGGGCGGAGCGCCCGCGGCCGGCGATCGGGGGGGAGCGCCGACGGCAGGCGCTCCCGGGACAGCGGCGAGCAGCGCCTCGGCCCTGGGGGCCACGGAGCCACTGGCCAGGGCGGCCCCGGTCGCAGCGCCAGCGGCTCCGCGGGAAGCGGGCGCGCCGGCCAGGCGGGCGCCCACAACATCCTGGCCCTGTGATCCGCAGCGCCGGCGCCGGGTGGCCGGGCAGGGCGCGGGCGGCGCAGCGCAGCAGGGAGCCCAGCTGCGCCAGCCCCGCGGCACGGCGAGCAGGCACCGCTGCCCCCACGGAGCCCGGCTTCCGGCAGGGCGCGCGGGGAGAGCGGTGCGCAGTCGGCACCCTCTGCGGGGGAAGCGAGCGCCAGTGCCAGATCTTCAGCCGCTTGGGTTCAAGGGCCACTCCGTCTCGAGACTTCTCCAGGAGGGAAGGTTGGCGCGCTGGCTCACGGGTCATCCGTCCGCGCGTTCACTCGTGCATGCAGCGGCCCGGGCATCGCGACTCCTGCGCGCCCTGATCTACGTGCGCATTGCTGCACAGACAGCGAGCGCAGCGCAACTCGGGGCAGATAACATGGTTGCTGGAGTTGTGATTCGCCCTGGCCCCCGCAAGACTGGCTCGAAGTCCGCTCAGTCTGGATTGCAAGGTTGGCAGTCTTTGCTCCACGTTGACGTCGCTACGAAGCCCAGCCCTTCGCTATGTCAGGGAAGCCTGGCGACACCGATCGGATGCAACTCCTGGGAGGTCAAATTCTGATTTTGCCCGGGCCCGAAATCCGGCTCAACCTGGCTTCATCCGGCTTCATCCGGCTCAATCCCGCTCAATCCCGCCTGATCCCGCTTGATCCGAGGCCCACTTTGGCGTAACAGCCCCCCAATGGGGCTTAATCCTCCCTTGAACGAAGGATTGCAAAAAAACGAAGGATTGCAAAAAAACCCAGGATTGCAAAAAAACCCTAGGATTGCAAAAAACGAAGGTTTTTTTGCAATCCTTCGTTTTTTTGCAATCCTTCGGGTTTTTTTGCAATCCTGGGTTTTTTTGCAATCCTTCGATCCTTCCGATGACAACCTCCCAGCAGCTGCCTCCCAACGAGGACCTCTACCGGGGAGCACCTCGGCGCTGCCTCCCGCGGCGCTCCTGGGGCGCCCCCGCGCCCCGGTGTTTTGGGGGGTGTCGAGGCCGCCCCGGTCTGCTCGAGAGATTGCCAAAACAAATCAGGATTGCAAAAACAAAAACCCTAGAACGAAGGATTGCAATCCTGTTTTTTTTGCAATCCAGTTTTTTTTTTTTTGTTTTTTTTTTTTTTGCAATCCTAGGGTTTTTTTGCAATCCTTCGTTCAAGCAGTGCCGAAGCGTCCTGGTTTATGATGCTCCAACCTACTTCAGCCTTGATCACCAGAAAGAACTTCGAGCGCCCAAAAAAGTACCGAAACTCAGGGGTTGAGCGACGTATGTTTAATTCGTTTGTTGTCGGGCTGCCTTTCCGAACACGGTAGGAAGGGTTCAGGTGATACATCCAGGCTTGAACCGCGCCCCTTGGACTCTTGATTCTCTGCTGCACCTCGGACTCCTCTCTATCGAATCGGCCCATCCCGCCACTGAGCCTGGGTTGTGAGTGTGAAGCCTATTGGATGTCCGGTGGGATTTCGAGGGTGACCTTTAGGGAGCCTCTTGGATGCAGTTTTGAGGCCTCTTGGGGGCAGTTTTGGAGCCTCTTGGGGTCGCTGTTGGGTCCCTTGGGCGCCTCTTGGAGCCTCTTGGAGCCTCTTGAGTGCCTCTTGGGGCCTCCTGGGGGCCTCTTGGGGCGGAGCGCTCGGATTTTCGGTTCGTGTTTCCTCTCTCGGGCCACTAATTATTGGGGCCGTCTTGGGGTCCTTTTGGGCCGTCTTGGGCGCCTCCTGGGCCCTCGAGGGCCGCCTTGGGGCCCTCTTGGAGGCCTCTTGGGCACTCCTGGGGTGGCATTGGGAGCCTCGAGGGCCGTCTGGCGTCGAGAAGGAAACACGGCGAGAGAACGTCAAAATCTTTGAAACACCGAATACAGATCAATGATTTTTGCCTCTCAGGGTCCTCTTGGGAGGCATCTTCGAGGCCTCTTGGGGCATCTCGGAGGCCTCTTGGGCCATCTTCAGGCCATTTAGGGCGTCTTGGAGCGATCTTTGGGCGTCTCGGGGCGTTCTGGGCCGCCGTGGGCCTCTTTGGGCCCTGTTGGGCCCGTTTTGGAGCCCCCATCGCCTCCAGAACGGTCACGAGAGAAACCGCGAGAAGCCCCAGGAGAAGATGTCGCGATGTGGGGTCTGGGGCTCTGAACGACTCCTCAGGCGTGATGATTGAGGTTGAGAGGATGATGGCAAGGACCTGAGGGCACGCCCACTCCGTGCCCAGAGGCACGGTGGCGGATCTACATAACCATGATAATCCGATGATCATCGTTCCGACAGGTCGCATCGCATTTCCGAGCTCCAATGGGGGAGCCGCCTGGGGGTATTTCAATTTGTTGTTGGTTCGAATTAAGGGGGGTGGCAGTGACTCGGGTTAGCGGTCGGTAGATTGGGCGAGGTGGCAAATATCATCCAGGAGCAGCAACGACCCCATCCCCGAATGGGAAAAATGGGGTTGGACAAGGACCCGCGATTGACCAACTCCGGCCCAGAAGACGGGTGGGTTTTTGAGTTAGGAGACCACATGCTAGAGGTTGTCTGGGTCGGTTTCGGCGAAGCCATCATCGGTAATTTGGGCCCTGAGATGCCGCCTGTGAGGCGGCCCGGCCGGTCTCGAGACATCCCTGCAGTTATGGGCTTCGAGTTGCCCCGCGAAAGATCGTCCAGCCCATTTCTCTTCGGCTTCTTCGCCGCTGTCATGAGGCGGTCCAGCTTTTTTGGCTTGAAACATCCTCTCAGAGCAATCTTCGCCCGGTGCATCCTCGTTATTCTGGATTAGTCGATGCTCTTGCAGCACGATATCAGATCCCGTTCCTCGCTGCTCTGGGCTCGCAGTTGCTTGAGATCTCATTGCCACTCCGGGTTTATGTACGTCTTATGTCCTCACCTCATGTGGTCCCGATTTTTTTCGCCTGAGACATCGTCGGGATTGTGTTTTCGGGGATGCCCAGACCTGAGGTGGTTCAATCAATTTCGCCCGAGATCTCACATTTCTGGGCTCAAAGATGTCCTGTCAATTTGTGTCACTTTTCAGTGGACACTCGGGAGACTGGAACACTCCTTGTTCCCAGTAGCAAATCTGTCAATCGGGGCCACTTGTCAAATGGGCGAGGGTAGCTGGGCATTGCATGAGGTGGGCTGCCCGTCGATTTCACACACTATTCACCCAAAGGGGTGGGCGGACTTCCTTGTCCTTGCCTTCGATGCTGTGTGGCACTTCGTCGGAGGGTAGGCCCGACGTTGCCCCATCAGCCAGAGCAGTACTGCTACTGAACCTCGCCTTGCCTTTGCGCAAAAAAGAAGTGATATCACATCGCCTTCAAGGCCGGCTGGCTCGAAAGTCATGGGGCGTTGCGTGAAGTTCAAGGGAGGGGTCAGTGATATGCCAGCACCAAGCTTGGCCATGCCTTCCATGGCCTTTCGCCAGCTGCCCCTGAGAGGCTTGGCCAACTTAGGAGCTTCGATTCCTGGCCGATCCGACTCTTGGGCTCCAGTTTCGGAGAGCTGGCGCAGCGCGCCCATGAAAAAAGTGCTGACGCTCTGACTCTTTCGACGCTCCTGACGCTCTTGACGCTCCTGACGCTCCTGACGCTCCAGGCGTCAGAGCGTCAGGAGCGTCAGGGGCGTCAGAGGCGTCAGGGGCGTCAGGATCGTCAGAGCGTCAAGAGCGACAGGAGCGTCAAGAGCGTCGGGGGCGTCAGGAGCGTCAGGGAGCGTCAGGGAGCGTCAGGGAGCGTCGAGGGCGCCGGAGGGCGTCAGGAGCGTCAGGAGCATCACAGCGTCAGGAGCGTCAGGGGCGTCAGGAACGTCAGGAGCGTCAGGAGCGTCAAGAGCGTCAGGAGCGTCAGGAGCGTCAGGGGCGTCAGGGGCGTCCACCACTTCGGCGCCGCCGCTCGAGACATCCTCACAACTCTGGCGCCGCCGTTCGAGACATCCTCACAACTCCGGCGCCGCCGCTCGAGACATCCTCACAACTCTGGCGCCGCCGCTCGAAACATCCTCACAACTTCGGCGCCGCCGCTCGAGACATCCTCACAACTCCGGCGCCGCCGCTCGAGACATCCTCACAACTCCGGCGCCGCCGCTCGAGACATCCTCACAGCTTCGGCGCCGCCGCTCGAGCGTCAGGAGCGTCAGGGGAGTCAAGAGCGTCAGGAGCGTCAGAGCGTCAGGGAGCGTCAGGAGCGTGGGCGTCAGGAGCGTCAGGAGCGTCAGGGAGCGTCGGGGACGCCAGGAGCGTCAGGAGTGTCAGGAGCGTCAGAGTGTCAGGAGCGTCAGGAGCGTCAGGAGCGTCAGGAGCGTCAGGAGCGTCAGGAGCGTCAAGAGCGTCAAGAGCGTCAGGAGCGTCAGGGGCGTCCACAATTCTGGCGCCGCCGCTCGAGACATCCTCACAGCTCCAGCGCCGCCGTTCGAGATAACCTCACAACTCCGGCGCCGCCGCTCGAGACATCATCACAACTCCGGCGCCGCCGCTCGAAACATCCTCACAACTCTGGCGCCGCCGCTCGAGCGTCAGGAGCGTCAAGGGAGTCAGGAGCGTCAGGGGCGTCAGAGCGTCAGGAGCGTCAGGCGAGCCAAGGGCGTCAGGGGCGTCCACGACTCTGGCGCCGCCGTTCGAGACATCCTCATAACTCCGGCGCCGCCGCTCGAGACATTCTCACAACTCTGGCGCCGCCGCTCGAAACGTCCTCACAATTCGGGCGCCGCCGCTCGAGACATCCTCACAACTCCGGCGCCACCGCTCGAGTGGGATGGGTGGATGGAGGGAGCTGGATGGAAGGAGTGAGGAGGAGGAGGAGGAGGAGGAGGAGGAGGAGGAGGAGGAGGAGGATGAGGAGGGGGAGGAGGGGGATGGGGGAGGAGGACGAAGGGTAAGAAGCGGATGGGGACTTTTTTAGGCCAAACTCTCGATCGACATATTTGACAAGTTAATTGTGACGCGACTTGTACCAGAGCAGGTCGTGGTGATGTCCCGTACGACGCGCTCGATTGGCATCCCCGACTCCCCTGCATTCAGAGCACCA